CCACCAGCCACCTCTGTCTGGAAGTCTATCTTCTTGACAATCAAATATGGAGGACCAGAATTTAGTGATAGAAAATGTATGTGGCACACAGAAGGTTCCAAATTCAAAGTTCACTATCTCCAAGTAGAGACACTCAGAAAGATGAAGAGTTTGTCAGTCTTTATAGATTAGGCATCAGTTTCCAGAAACCTTAGCTTGCATAGAAATGGGCATTAACTTCTGTAATCTGAAGTTCAAAAATATCAAGAGGATCAAAGCTGAGAAACATTGGAGCCTAAACAAGGAGCTAAATGAGCAATGGTTCACCTTAATAAGGAAGTGTCATATATTCCTGGTTTAGGGATGACTTCAGCATTCTCTACCGTACAATAAAGCAAGAACTCAATGGCCATATTTTCTTCAATTTACTTTGTATTTCAGCGTTACTGTTCCCAGGTGTGGCTATTGTTGATGGAATGCTTGATGGTGGATGTATACTATTTTCATGATTTTTTTTCTATATAGTTGCACATAAGAAACCTAAGCAATTTTGATCCATAGCTCAATACTTTGCAGTTTCAGATTCTCAATAGGAGAAAATTTTGGTATTAGAATAATCTATAGTAAAATGTCTATATGGGCAGTTAGGATTCTTTGTTGTCTTGGACTAGAGTCAGATGAAAAATATTTGAAGTAGAGATAATATTCTTAGACATAAATGTATGTGTATTTGAACAAAACAAAGTGATAAAAGGCAGGATAAAATAGAGGCAGGAATCATACAGCCCTGCAGATATTGGACAGTATTCAACAACTTCCAGTATTCCTCAGCATTTGCTGTCTTGGCTAGCAATGTTTGGTCTGTAGTCTAATAACACATGGAGACCCATTCACACATCTGCCATAGAACACATGGATCCACGCAGATAACTGTGTTAAAGCACAATGTAAGATGCCCAGGATACAACTGAAGAATCAGGAGTTAGGTATTAATGTGTTCAGAACAAAGAATATTGGCAATTTTGTTGGGAAAAGGTTGCAGGCCAGTAGAAAACATTTTGGAGCTGAAACAAACTATAGCAGGTGCAAAGGATCAATGGAAACCACTGGGCAAAACATAGATCAGAGCAAAGTGCAGCTCTGGGCCATATTAAATGCCACCAGGGCCTTTTTGTGATCCACATACTTCCAAATGCTCTCTGGGGATGTGGGGCACATTTTTGATGAGTTTGGGAGCACCTGTGTTGTTTTTTAAAACCAGAAACAAATAAGAAGTGATTGGAGAAAGAAGTACTCAGAGTTACATCTTGATTTCAGTTTCATTCATTTTTCTTAGGACCTCATTACATCGATAAGACCCCACAGGGTGATTTGCCAGCCTCTGTGGCGAATCAGCAGGGCAGTAGGGCGATCCCCATCCTTGCTGGTGGCGATTCTTCCCCATCACACGTGGGGAAGTGTCGCTGTTCAGTTCACCTCCTCCCACATTGGCCCTATGGTTTCCGATGGAACATGAGAAGCCTTCCATGTTCTGGGGGCAGTGTCATAGGATGCTTGCACCCCAGTTCATTGGTGGAGCCCCACCAGAAATGATCCCATGTCATGTGAAGGGTGGCGTGGGGCTCCATTGATCAGCTGTGTTGCAAGGATCCTAGGACACTTGCAGCCATCATGTGATGAAGTCCTAAATCCTGACATCATTTTGTTTCCACCATTGTTTTTTGTCAGGTTGTGAGACTTTATATATTCATCCTGCTTTGAAACCCACACATTTTGACACATCTTTCCTAACTTGAAATTATATTTGCAAAATTTACCTGTTTTGTATATTGTTTTACCATCTCCTGTTGTGTTTCTGAAATATGCATGTTGTAGTCATTCACATTTTAATATATTCATGTTATTCTGTGAGCATGTTCCTTCTCAGGAATGTCCTATACGCTATAATGTATGATATAAAACTAGAGTACACACTGCAAGTTAAATCAAGCATTTACTTGTAACAAGTATTGGGGGGGCTGTGAAAATGGTAGTTTTGCTGATGCTGTCAAGACAAATGCAGCTTCCCTCCCTACTTCAGGGAGTTTGTGAGAGTCTATTTTGAATCTGCCATGAGTCATTGCACTGAACCATGAGCTTTTTTTTTGGGGGGGGGGGGAGGGAGGAATCAGTTAAAGGACTATGAATGACAAATGCTAATTTAGTCACTTTGAACTCATGATAATAATATATTATACATCAGAGGGTGCTAAGAAAAGCCTGTGTCAGGAAAAATTAGTTTTGATTTATTCACTAATCTAAAATCTGGTGCTAAGAAATTCAAAACATATTTACTGGGTGTTGTTCAGATGAAAAATTAACCAAGTCTATTACTAATTGGAGAAGGTTTATCTTGATAATATCATATTTCAACATTTTCTGACACATCTAATCATATGTTGATATAATGAAGGATGAAGTGCTTTGTTTCTTTTCAAATATCTGTCAAATATAGTTGTTATATTAACCCAAAATTGACTTTTCCTGATTGCACTTTAGAATGTTTAAATGTAATCACACACACATTTACATTACTAACACTAAATACATCCTATTCAAAGTTCAAGTAATGCCTGAGCTGAAACTTCCTTGAAAGCTGATAAAGATAAAAGCTAAAATCTATAATGTAAAGCAGTTATTCTTACATACAAGACAGTTTTGTTTCTGTGATGTCAACAGTCTTTTATAGATTTATTCTCAGATGTGATCTCTTAATTGGTTAGAGGATTGAACTTTACATTATATATTTCTACTAGGGATACAAAAAATACTTTCCATTTTCTCACCCTCAATGAGAAAGGGTGTCTTGATCCATCAATATACTCCACAACACCCCATCAAAAAATATGTTCAACTGCCAGAAGTCTTTTCATATATTGGGGCCCATTGGTTGTTAATGCAAACATTTGTGGTTTTCCCCTGTCAACAATGAACAAAGATGCATAATAAACTTATAAAATTGCCCAACTGAGAGAAATGTCAGGCAATTATTTTCTTCTACATGCAAGAATGAATACTATATTATATTGCATTCAAGAATGAATATGCAAATTTATTATATTGTCAAATCCTAGTTGTATGAGTAAACTGCAATCCACCAACTCACTCAGCACAATCTGCTGTACATGGAACTGATGTAATTCAGGTTAACATAGACTAGAAGAATAGATTTTCCCCATAACTAGTTCTATTAAAAAGTTATAATTTCAGTTTTGTTAGGCATAGAATCAAACAGTTAAGGAAACAATCTGAGGAAGTAAACTTAGTCCCAAAATTTATGCTACCAACTTTGTTCTCTAAGGACCTCATCACACTTACCAATTTAAGCATCCTAGGATACTTGCCAGCCAGTTGGGGGATGGATGGGCACACAGCTCATCACACAACATCCCTTGACTTCTGGTGAAGACCTAGGATGCTTCCTCGTAAACATAGAAAAGTTACCTCCCCATCACATGGGACAAGCACACTTCTCCCCCGGTTGGACGGTGCTTTCCCCATTTGATGGGGAAGTGTTGCCATGATGGAGTTGCCCTGTGCTCCTGCTGTTTCACTACATTTGCTGAAAAAATAGCACATGTGTGTGCGTGTGTGTGTGTGTGTGCATGCGTGCGTGCATGATAAGGTTCAAAGTTAGTCTCTAAGGTGCTACAAGATCCCTTTACAATCAAAACAGTGGTATTACGCATGCACAAGTGGGAGAATCTCATAATTTGTGTACTTACAATTGGGAATCTCATAATAAGAATCTCATAATTTGTGTACTTACAATTGGGAAACTCTAAGCAGAGTCTCCAGAAGGAGCCCAATAAAGATTGAGCATGCTCAGCCACAGAACCTAGAATTAAGGACCATGTCCAATCAACATGGCTGTCTGACTAGACAATTAACAGGAGTATTGAATCATTCTACAAAGAGAAAAAGTAGACACAGCTCCATCATACCTGGGCTCAGAAGCAGATGAAAGGCCCTCTCTATATCCCTACTGCAATTTCCCTAGTCTTAGAGGGAAAGAAGAAGGGGAAAGAACAGTTTCATCATGTCTAGACTCAGAAGCAGATCAAAGGTATTCCCTCTACCCTAATTGTCAGTGCCCTGGCTCCGGAAGGAGGAAAGAAGAACTAATATCTGATGGATTTAACCTCTCCCTTTCCCTCTACTACCATTCCCTTTCCTTGTGATCCCTGCTTCACCTAGATTTGAAATGAAATTGGCAATGTGAGAAATCTTTTTCATGACCGTAAAGGTCACAAATGGTCAAATCTTCTTTCCCTCTGATCTCTATTACTACCACCAAAAGCGCAGTATTCAAACAAATATTTAAAAGAAGTCACACACGCAAGGCCAAATCATGTTAGAAATGCCAGGGTTTTTTTTGCACATGATACAATTGGTACAAGGAAAATCTGGATTTTTGTTCTCATAAGCAAAGCTTCAAAATAGCAGCCAGAATTTCAATGAAAAAGATCAGAGCCATTGTTGTGAGAGCCATAATCTATATCCAGCCTAAGTGTGGTAGTTAACATCCCATGGAACTGGGGAATTTTCAAGTGATCCTCAGACATAATTTCTCCTGAGCAATGTAGTTATGTCATAACAGAGACTTCTTCTTTCTCTACAGATGAAATAAGGAGGGAAGTTGTTTCTTCAAGGTTTTGAATTTGACTCCTTTGGCAAGATTTTGCTTGGGGAGATAATGATATTTTAACCACTTCTATTAAAATAAAGATTCTGGAAGTTGGATAAAATGGGATTACAGGTTTGAGGAATTATAGTTCAGTTCCTCTGCATGCCAAGTTTTGGTTTAGAGTGACCTATTAACAGATGTATAAAACAGAACTTGAATTAATAAATTGTACTAGAGAGGGCATGACATTCATTCAAAATATTGGAGGATTCTGGGGAGACATTGATAAGCACCCCTAAATATATGCATTCATAACCACACCTTAATATATTTTTTCAAGAAATCACTGTCTTACCTCCTTCTTTAGAACACATGTTCACTAAGCTGTGTACAGTGTCCATTAGCTCCAGTTGTTGTTTCTGCAGGATACTGTTATTGTTAGTTGCTTTAGTCAGCTGTCTTTCCAGTTCTTGGATGATGTATGTTTGACGTGAAACCAAGCCTTGTAGGTTCTCTTTTTCCTCCTTCAAAGTATCCAGCTCCTCTTTATGTCTTCCTTCCATTTCAAGGATTTTGTGTTCTAGTAGACTGGGAAGGGAAACACATTGATACCACATATAAACATTTTAGTCCCCAACTTCCTTCATACCAATGAGGGTGAAAAGTAATACCAACTAGTACTAAGATGAGCTCCAATTCAGAACTTGGATACAATGCTAAAATGGAAGTTGAATCTTCCAATATCATAATCACAGTCATAGCAGATAAAAGGAGAATGGTGAACAAACAAGCCTGAAGCTTTCTTAGATTTAATCTTCTAAATAGATTTTATTTTCAGGAAGGATATGCACAATACAATCTGCCTTTGGGAATCAAGGTGGATGATAAGAGGAATGTATACTTCCTGCTCTCAATCAATTTCTCCCCACACAAAAGGATTTCATTTAAAAATCTGCAGGGATCAGACTTGTACATTAAGCTCATGTTTCCAATGGCTTGTAACAAAATAAAGCTATTTATATATGCTCATGCATAAGTCTGAAAAGTTTGATCAAATAATTAACCCTAATTTCTTTTTTGGTTTGACCTATCAATAAATAATTGCAAGTACTGTATTTAAAAGGGAGCCAGTCCCTTATCTGAGTAGAAAAAGAGCAAGTGTCCATCTTGAGACAATGTTTAAAAACTACTAATATCTTCTAATCCTTCTATTATGGCTTTTTGAATGTCCAGGTGAAAAAGCAGCAGTAGCCAGGTATGGTTGGCCTTCTGAGGTGGTCATGACTCTTTCCTTCTCCTTGGGATGACTTTCAAATTATCTACAGGTTATAATAAAATCCATAATTTTGCCCCCTAAACTGACCTCACTTGAAGTCATTTTATACATGAGTATATACAGTAGTTAAAAGCATTGTATGCACTATTTCAAGGAGGTGCTTTTCATCTATCCACCAATCACTTTATATTCTGCCTGAAAACAACTTAAAAATACAGAAAATGATAATAAAAAGATGTATAGTAAAACAGACCCAAAAACTAAGATTAAAACTGTATTAACAAAAACAGTATTTAAAATAATTATGTCCAAAGTTTAAAAACAGCCTAGCACCATCAAAAAAGAGAAAGCAGCAGCAAAAACATTTGTTTACAATCAATTTTGTCACCTTCGGGCTGAAATGGACGGGATAGAAATAATGTAAATAAATTTCCCAAGACTTGCCAGAATAGGTCTTTACCTAATGTTGAAAAGGCAGCAAACAAGACACCCCAACCTCTCTATAGAGCAAGTTCAAAGTCACAGAGAATCCACTCTCCCATGTTCCCACCAAATATATCTATGAAGATGGTAGACTAGAATAAAGTGTTCTTCTGAACATCTTAAAGCACAAGGTAAAGGTTTTCCCCTGACAATAAATCTAGTTGTGCCCGACTCTAGGGGTTGGTGCTCATTTCCATTTCTAAGCCAAAGAGCCAGCATTGTTCATAGACAACTCCAAGTTCTTGTGGTCAGCATGACAACATGGAGCACCATTACCTTCCCGCCGGAGCGGTACCTATTGATCTACTCACATTTGCATGTTTTTGAACTGCTAGGCTAGTAGAAGCTGGGGCTAACATTGGGAGCTCATGCTGCTCCCCGGGTTCTAACTTGTAACCTTTTGGTAAGCAAGTTCAGCAGCTTAGAGGTTTAACCCACTGCACCACCAGGGGCTCTTCTTAAAGTATAGACAGATTCATATTGGAAGATAAGATCCTTCAGACAACCATATAGGACTTTCACTCATTGGGGAAGCATCCTTTTCACGTTCAAAGGTAATGTATCTTTCAATTGGACCTCGAGCTTCATGAAAAATTGCACTCCAAGACAAATGCATAGGTTTCTGCTTGAAGAAAGCGAAGCAGAAAGAATTTTCAAAATATTTATGATCCTATGAAATCATTGTCAGATATCTTTAGTTAAGAGCAACTTTTCAAACAAACTAATTTCTGGATAATATATTGCAGAACACTGGCCTGACCTTGACACCTGGCAACAAACAATAATGTGGAAGGTTTCCCATTTGAAAATTAATAGTAAAGAAGACTAAACGAACTATAGTTTTTAATATGAAAAATCCCATTTTATGAAGATTAAAATTTTAAAATGAACAAGGATTTATAACATTGAAGAATATATTAAAAAGAGATCAAATAACATCACTATGATGAAATGTTTCATTTATCATGTATCCTCATATGTAACAATTGTACCCATAGCTATGCATTTTAATCACCTGCTCATATAGTGAAGAATGAGAATATTTTGATTTATGAAATATAAGTTTTTCTAAATCTTTTTAATACTTCTGTGAGGTGTCAGAGGAATTATGACAGCCTAAATATGCTGGGACCACAAAATTAAATGAGGTACCCTAGTGTATTGTGAAAATAGAGAAGAGAAAACTACATTGGAGAGGTAAGACAGATCAAAAATACACTTTATGGCCATTTGGAGCAAGCTCCAATCACTCTGCCAGAATAACTCTCAAGGACACTTGCCTGAGCATTTTCTAAATTCATCAAAGTGAAAAAGAGGGCTTTACCCTTTTGCATGAACCTTATGCTACAATATCTAACAATATCTAACAGATCCTTTGAATAATACTTACGCATTAAGAGGGAAAGTAAGTGAAATTGCTTATTTTTGTATGCATTTTCCCCATAATACAAAAAAGCTGCCTTAGTCTCAAGTTTGGGAAAGAGGTATGATTTTTGTTGTTGGTTATTCATTCAGTCACTTCCAACTCTTTGTGACCTCATGGACCAGCCCACGTCAGAGCTCCCTGTCAGCTGTAGCCACCCCCAGTTACTTCAAGGTCAAGACAGTCACTTCAAAGATATCATCCATCCATCTTGCCCTTGGTTGGCCCCTCTTCCTTTTTCTTTCCATTTCCCCAGCATCATTATCTTCTTCAAGCTTTTCTGTATTCTCATTTTGTGGCTAAAGTACTTCATCTTTGCCTCTAATACTGATGATGATGATGATGATGATGATGATGATGATGATGATGATGACGACGACGACTTGGGGGTGAAACATGCAAGATATGTAACTCAAGGGAAATAATGATAAATGTAAATGTACATTTTCTTTTACAAATATCCCAGGCGGCTGTGGATATAAGGTATCTTAAAACTGAACCCATACAAAAAGTTCTCGATCTCTTTATATTAATTCATTATCTCTCTATGAATATATCTGAGCACTTGGGAGAAAGACATTTCCATTTTCTTTTTCTTTAAGGCAAGTGTTATGAACCTCCAAGAGCATTCAGGAGAATTAACAAAACATTTTGGAGGTACATGTCTCAAAGTCCACCAAGGTCTTATTTGTTTCTGCCACTTTGCTAGAAAGAGGAGGGAAGAAAAGATTAGCTGTCCTTGCTTTGCTTTGCTTTCCTGCAGTAATACTATTTTGGACCCTTAAGTGTTGTTTATTAAAAGGGAAGAGGTAAAGAGGCTGGTGGGAGCAAAGGAAAGACTGTTTGGGGGCTGCCTGGGAAACTGAAAATGGTCCTTTAGCTCAGGTTTTAATTTGTACCAGAAAAGGAGCCATTTGCTACTTCATCTTTCAGAACTGCAACTTGAGCAACTCTTGGATCTTTTTATCTCAGCCAGGCCCAGCAATTTTCGCCAATATCTTTCATCCCTAGATTTCACTAGAGGTGACCTGAAATCAAGACTCCTCAAGGCTCCTCTTGAAATGGGAGTTCTACCAACAGTCCAGTTTTGCCATTAAGAATTATCATAAAACCTTTTGTGGGTCAGGTCCATCCACCCCCCCCCCCCCACACACACACACATTTGGGAAGGGTTGGAGATGCCTATAGTAAAATTGTCCTGATCTAATAAGGAAGATGCTAATATATTCCATCTGCTGATCGGTCTTTTGATTCTCTGTGCCAAAGATAATGTTACACATATTCACAAACTTACCAGAGAATTCAAGCTTGCCAGTGATCAATGTGCTATCCAATATTTAATTTGGTATCCCTCCCTACAATTCTCAAGGCTCTCACTGTTGCTTTCACTTCTGGCTAAGAGATCAGTGGCAGTATGCCTTACATTTAGGTCATCTAAGCAAACCTAAAGACATAATAGCATCCACATGTTTGTTTGTTTTTTTATTGACCTTCAGTGTGGGATGTTATATGTGATAAACAAATGCTGAAGGAAAGCCATGGATCAGAAGTATATTTTAAAGGATAAACTGTTAAAATAAAACAAAAACATGTTTTCTTCTGAACTTATAGACTTCTTAATGCATAAACTACATATTTCCTAAGGCATTACAGAAACATAGCATTTCATCTATTAAAAACACAAAGCTAAAGATGGGAGGAAAGGTAAACCATAAAACATAAGAAGACCTGCACTGCATTAATTTGCTGAATTATCAAAGGCCTATCTTGGGCAAGAATCCACCAATGTACTTCCACAGGATCCCAGTGTTGAAACTGGTACACATGAGACAATGCAATATCAGAGTGCAGTCATACTGGCAAGATTTGTTAATATCAAAGAACACACAAACTAGGAAAGAGTGCAACCATTTGCTTTTTTTGAATCTCCTCTCCTCTTCTCTCCTCCCGAGTAATTGCGTATAACCTATTTTTTCACTCCCATTGCAGCAACCGAAGTAATCTGAAGTCAAAAGAGAAAGTGGGAGAGGAAAACCTGGACTTTTTCAAAGCGGATGAAGAAATGGGATGATGGGAAATTTACTGGGGTTGTCTGTGCCAAATTAGGACAGTTGAAAGTTGTTGGTGGGTGTTTATAAAGTTGGGAAGGAAGTTGTTATTTTCTTGATTCTACAAGGAAATGAAGACTTGCCCGGAAGTACATCACTGGATCCTAGCTTTGCATTCTATTGAGTAAACCAAACACCTATGTGAAATCCAGTAGAAACATATTAAAACAAGACATAGAATTGACTGTGATGGTTAGTGTTATTATTCCTGTCAACTATTTCTGACTTGGCAACTGCTCTCTGTATTAGCTTACATTGTTTTGGAGTGATCATGAGAATGCCGAGATGTTGTGAATGT